GATTAGAGACGTTGTAATATGTTACAGACAAATGTAACCCAGGAGGAAACTCCCTCAGAACATAACTGAGAATTCAGTTTGGTTTGTATAAACACAGCTTCAGACTGAGGCCTGATGTCCAGAGAACATCTGTCAAGAGAAAAGATGGCTGTTTGACAGATGCTCCCCGTCCAGTCTGAGCTCGCTAACATCAGCCAGGTAGAAATAAAAAAATAATAATCTACTCAAATCCACTTTTTCAGTATAGCTTATTTGAAAATGTGGTTGTATTAAAATCAAAACCAGGAAGCAGAGGTGTTTGAATTCTTCCCGTATTGTACATTATTTGCATACAGTGTTGGTTATGAGTCCAGTTATATTTGCAGATAGTATGCATTTCCTAATTAAATGACAAAGCGGTGATTTATTGCTCTGTCAGGCTCATACTGCTGCCATGTGGGCTTTTATGCCCTCAGTCTGGGCTTCAGCAAATGAAAGCCATGCTCAGCTGGACAGGAGGCAGGAGACTGACGTGGCCACTTAAGAATATGAAACTGTAATTTAGGATCACTGTCTGCAGTCCTGTCTGATGTGTGTGAAGTTTTACAGAGTTCATTAAATGTGGACGTGAACCCTGTAAAGCAGCAGACATCATATTCAGCACTTCATCTCAAACAGAGCTGCAGTCAAGCAGCATTTTCTCTCTTCAGTTCCAGGACTTTCTGAGCTGGACCGGGGCTCGTCCTGGGATCTGTCTCTCCCTGTGGCTGTCAGTGCTTCACTCCAGATGTCCTGGATCTTCATCCCCCAGCAGCCTCACCTCGTTCTGAGCAACTGTGGTTCATCCTCTCTAGATCTTCCTCTGGACAAGAGGTCATGTTGAAAGTCCTTCCTGTGTTGGCAGCACTTGGACGTTACTCAGTAGTGGACGCTCACATCTGTATGATGTGGGTGTTAAAAATAAAACTGACCTTCATTGTATAAAACTTTGTCCAAACAGAGAAAAGGAGCAAATAATCCAATTTAAAAAGCTGTGATTGTTGAAAAAGGACTACAAAGATTAATCGTATACTAAATAATAATCCGTCTTTCACAGTTCCTCTCCAGTTGTTGATTCAGGCCCTGAAAGTGATTTCTGTTTATCAAATGTGCATGTTTAGAGGGTTTTTGTGTTTTCTGTCTCAGACCGCCCAGGATTTGTGTGACTGTGCTGAATACGTAGATCCTGACCGACAGCAACTGAGTCTTCTAAGCGGACTAGAAAGTAACAACTACGTCTGTACGTCCTTGAAGACTCTGACAGCTGCAGACATGTGCAGCTCTGCTGTTTTCTAGTCTGCTGGGAGGACTCGGCTCCATACATGTGCTGTAGGTCAAATCTATATATTCCACGTATGGACGCTGCTGCTGAGTGTGTTGTCCTTGTAGTGCAGCTGACAACATGCACATGACATTGACTCTAGCAGACCTTTGGAGAGTGTAACACCAGCTCTATGCAAAGCCTGTAACTGTACACCAGTGCTGCAAATCCATGAAGTGCCTGCCTCTCTCTTCACCCATCGCTCCCCTTTTGCTTCTGCTCGAGCACACCAGCTCTCCCACTATGTTATCAGTCCTGCTCAACCATGGAGTTAAACTCCTGTTTTGCTCATTATGTGTCTTCCAGCACATTAAAAACACCACATGGACACGTTAACGTGGTTAAACACTAGATTTCTTTTGAAAACAACTTTCCTAATTCTGCTTTCTGGATTGGTTTGAACTTATTTAAGATCTAATGGTTTTATTTGTGTTTTTTAAAGATGCTGTTCTGTGTGATTGGAAAGTGTTCTATTAATAAAGACTGTGATTCATATTTTTACTACAGTTTTTTAACCCTCCTTCAAATTAACATCTTTTATCCTTGGGTTTAATCTGACCCCAAAAAAATATCATAATCAAAACTGTTAGCCACGTTTATGTGTGAATAGTCCTTTAAATAAAACTGAAAAAAGAGATGTTAAACACTGAAGGGAGTCAAATTGAACCCAAAGATAACAGGAGGGTGAAATGAATGTGACTAAATGCTGCAGTACGTCGCTGCAGACACCAGGGGGCACACGAGGTTAAACATTTTAGGATTTCATTCATGGTTTTCAATGAATGGATGATTTACTGAAAAATAAAAATGAGATTTGAAAACACTGTCTAGATGTACACAGTGATTGGTTGATTTTTTTTTTTTTAAAGAGAAAAGGATAAAGTCTTATCAATAAAAATGTTTGGACGCTTTTAGTGAGTTTCGAGGATAATTGATTAAAATCTGTTCCCTTTAAGTGATATTAAGTTGTTCTAATATTCTGTCTCTATAGAGGATGTTTCATTCAAACTATTAAAGAATTAAAAGTTTTTTCCTCCGTGTGTAAGTGTGAGAGAGGCTGTTTCCAAAAAAAAAAAAAAAAGACACCCTGCGTCTTTGTCAGTGTTGTGAAACAGATACAGTTACATCCGGATTAAAATGCTCTATTTGTCTTGTGTCTAATAGGAGCCAGATGTTACCTCCAGCACCGGGCCGCTGTCACTCAGGCCGCCTCCCACCAATCAGAGCGCGGCTGCTCTCCTCCCTCCCTCCGCCGGCCGTCCTGCACACTGGGACTGAGAGCGGAGCCGCGCTGAGTCTCTCCTTCTTTCTGCTGCCTCTCAGTCCAGCTGCACCTCCGTCCGTTCCTCCAGCTCTACAATGCACAGAGGCCCGATGCTGGCTGCGTGTGTGCTCTGCTGGAGCTGCACCGTGAGCGTGGTGACCGCCATCCAGAGGGCCGAGATGTTCCCGTACGGCTCCCTGAGCGGGGACTTCATTCTGGCTGAGGGCGACGATGAGACGTCCAGAGTCCTGTCTCTGCCCAAACCTCTGTACTTCTACGACTCCCTGTTCTCGCAGCTCTATGTAAGTATCCCTCCACCGCCGGGCTGACAGGTGATCCGTGCAGCTGGTCGCAGAGCAGATCTCAGCTTGAATGGGGGAAAGTCAGGACAAGAGAGGCCACTCGGTTCATCAGCATCTGTCTCTTTTTTTTTTTTCCAGTGAAGGGACCGCACATTATTCCAGTTGTGTTTGCAAAAGGTTTCAACATTCTGCGCTCCAAATGCTCAGATGTAAATCCTCCCTGTGTGCGTTAACAAACAAGATCAATTTCCAGATACTCACATGTCAAAACTTAGCGGGAGGCTCGTTATTAATCAGTATGCGCTGGAAAAGAGTAACTTCTGGGCTGTTTATTGGAGAAATAAAAGAGAAATATCAGTGTTAAAGTCTTAAATTTGATATTTACTTTTTTAAAAGTGCAAAAAAAGTTGTTGATGTTGCAGCAGTAGAAGTGGTGCATTCAGAATCCAACATGAGCAGCACTGTCATGTAGGTGCCAGTTAACAGAACAGTGTTCAGCTCACATATCAGCTCTGTCCTCATGCTGAGGTCATGCACAAGATCTTTCTGTTGTGCTTTAGCTAAAAGGCAACAACAGATTTGGACCAGCTGCCTTGTTCAGTTCTGCAGACTGCTTTGTTTCTCATCCACCCGTTCACACACCAGCATCTTCACTGTCAAAGCGTCCATGTTTATAATCCAGTAATGTGGGAGTCTTAAACTTTTTATTTACATTTTTTAACAGAGCTGTTTGTACACGGCCATCGCTTCGTGATAGAAAAATGTCAGCAGTCCTTAAATAGCATTTTAAGGAGACTTTAGGTCTAAAATTAGCAGGAAGGCTTTACAAAACAGGTGCCTGAGCAGAGCGAGTGTACGCTAAGGTTCAAAGTCAGTCGAGAGTTTTAGATGAACTGAGATAAATCTTTTAACAGCTGCATGGAATTACAGAGAGATGCTGATAAATGCTGTTGCTATTTTATTTTATTTTTTTAAACAAAGTTTGGTGTTTTTGATCACCTGTGGAGTTTAAATTGAAAATAAGTTGAGTGAAAAACCCAATCGGTCGACCACTGGTGTTACTATTTGAAATTAGGTAACATATCCAAACACATTCCAATTATTATAACTGAATCAATGCTTTTAAAATATTAACATGTAAGCCATGTTTAAGTGTTGGCAGTGACAGAAGAAGCTTTGACAACACTAACCAGGTAAAGTTCATGCATTCAAAAGCTTTAAAAGCAATAATACGTACGTTTTATGTAGGATTTGGCTGTTTAATGTGTAAACTCATCATACAGTTTTAAATGAAAACACACGTAAAGAAGCTGTTAATGAGGTGTTGTGGATATATGGAGCAGAGCAGTAAACTACACAAACACTCTATTATTACTACATGTGTCTGGTTGCCTTCCAAAGCTGATCACCTCTGTTTAAGTCCCAGATATGAGCTGCTAAGTGTGTCTTTGTGTGACACCTAATATAGCCAGACATCCCAGCAGAACACATCCAAAGCAAAGCCAGCTCTATGTGGTTTGATGTCTCCAAAGCATAATCATGGACCAGACAGGGGGCCCTTGAGGAGGTTCCAGTGGTTTATGAGGGGAATGTAGAGGTTCATTATGCGGTTCCTGGGGTCCATGCTGGGGTTCCAGTGGTTTATGACGGTTCATTAGGAGGTTCCCTGGGTTCATGACGGTGCTCCAGGTATTCTGTAACAAGCCGGTCTCTCGCTCTAGGTGGCCACCAATGGGATCATATCGGCCCAGGACCTGCCGATGGAAAAGCAGTACGTTGACGATGGCTTCCCTACGGATTTCCCCGTGGTCGCCCCGTTCCTAGCCGACATCGACACCAGCGGCGGGCGAGGGCAGATTTACTACCGGGTGACGGAAACACCCAGCGTGCTCAACAGAGTCGCCCAGGTCGGTTACAGATAAGAGTGTAATGTAGAGAACAATACCTCATGAACCAATCTTAACTGGGTTCTTCCTTCCTCCAGTCTCTCATCCATTAGTTCAGTCCTTCCTTTTTTTTCCCCCCCTCCCACATTCATTCATTCATTCATCTGCTCATCCAGGAAGTCCATCGGGGGTTCCCAGATGCAAAGTTCACACCCACACACGCTGTCGTGGCAACATGGGAGAACGTTGCAGCTTACGAGGAGCAAACTCGAACCACTGGGTCTTCCAACAAGGTAAGGTGGCTTCAGGAATGGACGCTGATAAGTCCAGTGTCCGCCATGTAACAGCCCCCATGTCCCTCACTGGCATGTTCTGGCTCTTGAGAGACACTCAGCCCCAAATTCCTGGAGGTTGTGCATCACTTGTAATCAGCCTGGGGTGGGGGGTCTATTTGTAATCCCCCTTCCCCTCCTAATCTGCCTCTTAACCTTTTCAAGAGGTCAGGGGTCATCTTTAAGGGTCATCAAAGGGCCCCCCGCCCTACCGACTCGTTATCCCCTCCTCCAGTTCACACACAGGTAGACAGCAACATGCCTCCACCCTCCTTGTTTGTCAGCCGGTGATCATTCAGACTTGTTTAACTCCTATTGTTGTCCTCTAAGATTTGAAAATGCAGCTCCCATGATTTTGGGGCTTTTGGAGGATGTCAACAGGAAGTATAAGGCTGGTATGGAGTCGATTATTTAGCCGTGGGCCACGACTTGGAACTGTTTTTTTTTTTTGTCATCTTTCAAACTAAAGAAAAGTCCAAATTGTGATGTTTTCCAGGCAAGTTCTGGTGTCAAAGTGTGATGTTTTTCTAACATTGTCTCACTGAACAAACCTTCAGAAAGTCTGTCAGAGAATTAGCAGATTATACCTGTCTGTGAACAAGTACACGTTTTGACTCAATGGCAGCTAAAACTGTTGCTCTAATGATAAATGGCAGCCGATCAGCCAACAGAACACATAGAAAAACCTTTCCTCTCCCTGCACAGTTCAGCTTCCCTCACCGTGCTGCTGAGCCACACCTCTGGAGCAGCTTTAGTTTACACTTTCATCATTTCCTCTGAATTTCCTTGGGAAGAGTCGTGTAAGGTGGACCTCGCTATAGTGAACACAGGAGTTCTTTGAAAGCGAAGTTCTATTTTTACACCATTTATTACAACCTTATTGTTAAAAATTTTCCATGAATCGGGGCGTGACGAATCGACTCTGTCAGCTGTTGGGTTGTTAAAGGGTTACTCCACCACTTTACTACGTCACTTCTGTGAGAGTGACGGACTGCTGTAGAAGACAGGTCAGGATTAAAGTAGAACAGGCTGAGAAATCCTCATTCTTTGGCTCCAGTGTGAACACACAAACCTTCATTTTGTCGCACAACTCAGCAGCATCTTGCATCAGACCCTCCCTGCCTGCTAAAGGCCTCTCCGGTCTATAGTACTGGCTTTCACCTAAAATTTTGGACCCCCTGTGTTGAAAATCAAGGTTTGTATGTTTTAATATGCTGGAAGATGTATCGTGACCAGAAAATAAGCAGTCAGTGCCGTGGCTGATGGAAGTCAAGAGAACACAGATTCAGACTTACAAACCTGAAGAGCCAATCCTGTCAGTTTGCAGGGTGGAGCTTTCTGATTCCTGGTTGAAACATGTGCCTGAATTACTCCAACGTTACAACTTGCCCCTGTGCAGCGTAGAGTTGTAGGTGAGCTGGTGTGCTTGAGCTGGAGTCAAGCAGGAAGGGCAAAGTGGAGGCAACAGTGCGTGGTTAGATCGAAGCCATCTTAGAGCAGAAAGAGATGATTTCCATGGAGCAACTTCTAGAGGTGAGTTTTAGGAGTTCAGTCAAAGACTTAAGAGGAACTTTAAGTCTCAAGCTGAAGATTTAAACCTGAGATATAAACCCTGATGATATCACAACATGGATAGACTTATGTTTTGGCTTTGGAAAGGCCCTCCTGAGCCAAAGAAGGCGTTATATACCTGCTTCATCAGGCTGAGTAGTGCTGCTCATGTCAAGTCAGCAGAACTAAAATTGGTGTCCCTTAAAAGCATTTGATCTGTTTTGTTTGTAATTCATGTCAATACTTTGTAAAAGAAATAATGCAAGAACTACAGCCCGGTGTTAGAAAGAGGATGGTCACCTCGAGGAGCATTAGAGGCTTTGTTTAGGTCAAACTTTGGGACGGACTCCAAGTAAAGCCAGGCCTTGTGAACTTATCGATCAAACAAACAGTGCTTTGTTGTTCCTGGTTTGTAGCATGTGGGATGGAGGGACGAAGGGAGTGGCAGGTTTAAGGAAAAACCCCGGGGGATCTGTGTGCCGGTCCCTCCCGCTCATCTGTGCTTTCTTTGCTCATAGTCTGGTTTCTTTTAGACTCTTTCTTCCTGATTGATCAAAAGCTAAACATCGTAATAGTCTAATATGCAGCATTGTGACGTCTCTCAGTACTTTGGGTTTTGATTGCACCGCTGCCAAACGGACGAATCATCGACTCCAGCGTCTCTGAGCTTCGAAATTGGAAGTACGTCTTCAAATCTCACTGCTGATGAAATGCTCATCAGAGGCTGGTGTCCTCGCCTCAGAGTGGAAAACGATTCTATATGTGCCAGGAGGTGACTTGTTTTGGTATTTAAACGGTGTGTCTGGCTTGTCAGATTGGAGTGGTCCGGATCTCGGCTGGGATTTGCTTTGGGGCTGATAGCATCTTCCTTTGAAGTGATTAGCCAGAGGTGCTGGGTGGGGTGCGTTAGGGGTAGGCTGGTATGTGTGTGTGAACTGATTAACCTGAGGTGACTGTTAGTCGGGATGTGTATTAGGGCTGATGGGGTGGCGTTCTGGGGGAGGGGGCGGTCTGTGGGGTGTTCGGGGGTCGGATGTGGCGATGAGAAGAGCAAAAGGGAAGAAATAACAGAAACGTAGAAGAATCAGAGCAAAGAGTGAAGGTTCACATTCCTGAAAAGCAAGGGTGTGTTTTCTATGAAATTAGTCTTAAAGATGTTATTATCATAATTGGTGAGTAATTACTTCAGTTTAAGCCGAAAACAGTCACACTGTTATATCAGCTAGCGTGTAGCTCAGTTTGCTAATGACCAGAGTCATTTCAGAAGAGACTGGCTCTCAGTACGTCGGGTAAAGAAGTGTTGACCAGGCTTTACTTGAAGCATATCGCTGCTTCACATGAGGACACCTGCCATGTTGGTGGACGTAGTGACAGTTTATCTTCCAATACTATGAATAAAATCAACACTTAATTAATTAATGGAAAGTAGTGTTCTGTTTCATATCATACAATTAAAAAAAGTTATTCAGATCCGCCCTTAACTTTTATAAGTGCTTCCTTTGCACCAGCTCCATCACTCCACCATGTTTCATACCTCTGGTGTGGCTAACTCTTCACAAGGAGGAAGTAGTGCATTTGTTGTGAGGTTAAAGAAACAGGTCGACATTTAGATAACATCCATGCTAAGAGCCAGTTAATGCTTTCCGTGTCCGTATGCACAGACCAGTGCAGCTATGTTCTGTTCTTACTACTGTAGGTCTGTGTAGGCGCTCACGTTGCCCCTCATACCAACCATAACAGGATGTAGCAGCTAGTTTCAGATCAAGCTGCAGCACCGCGTCAGTGGATGTTGAGTTGTGCCAAGCACAGCGAGGGGACATAGCACAGGATTTCTGGAGAATTTAGATCTTCCCACGGTGTTTGGGCTCAGCGATAGATAACATGCACAAATCAATCAAAGTCCTGCAGCGATTGCTTCACTTCCAATCTTTTTTTGATGAACTTTAAAGATGTGGATGGCAGAATAGTACAGACTCTCATCTAAACAAGCACTTGTTTCGAGCACCATTTGTTTTTCTTACACGGTCGCCACGCTTGCAGTGCAGCCGTCTACAGAGCAGAACCTCACAGATTTAGGTGCTTGCAGATGCGATGAATTGATTTTAAATTTACAGTGTAAATTAACACACATATGGCTTTTGCGAGCGTCCACATTACTCCGTCATTGTAGGACCCTTAAAACAGACACTTCTTGAAATGATGCTGTTTTAGTTTGAAAGCTTTGGGATTGCATTTTGGACGAGCAGAAACTTTTGGAAACGACATCACAGACGTCGCTTCTGATTGGGCTTCTGTCACTACGTGTCCATCCCAGATTCACAGGCACGTACATCTGTGCTTTTAGTTGTATTAGTACCTTTAAAAAACAAAAAAAAAAAACAAACAATGGCAGTTTGTTGTTGCATCAGAAGATTTGTGCTCTGATGTTTCTGTCATGTTGCACAGATCAAGCCAATGAGGTTTTGGGTTTTTGATTGTTTGGACTCACTACAAACCTCCAATCAAACGGAGCTCAGTGTGGAGATGTGCACCAACACGGGGACCTGGAATAGGCCAACATTTAAAAGTAATTGGTACAAAATTCCGACATCGGCAGAGCTTTGCATTCCTCCTCAGACACTCACTCATTTGAAAGTCTGTTTGGCCTCAGAATGTGATTTTACATCTGGAAAGATAAACCCTTTTTTTTCCTGTTTTTGCACTTAATTGTCCTCTCAAATTTCCCTAAAAGCACCATGTGTATAAAGAGCATGTTGTAGGCTGAACAGTATATGCCTTTCTTCTCTCTCTAGCACAATAGGAAGTGTTGTTAGCATTAGTGCTATTTGTTGTTTCTGGGGCCCCCTTGCAGTGACACAGGGGGCATCCCCAGAAATATGTTCAACCCGGTTCAAAGCAGACTCCGACTGAACTTCAACTTTCATAACATGTTATTGTGTCCTTATGCCATGGGACAGATTCTGCTCATCAGCGGACAAAGAGAAACAAAGGGCTTCTTCTGGCTGTGCCGCTCCAGTATCACATCCAGAGAAGTGACTCAAAGAGGCTTCTGGGATCTTGACGGCTTCACTAATTACAAGTATGCAGCCGTAGCCCTCTGGTTTGTAGTTGCGGCAAAGATGTTCATGTTCACAAACCTTTCAGGATCTAAGAAAAGCAGCTCTGGTTTTACCCACCATGTGCTCTGGACTTGATCAAAAAGGTTTCTGAAAAACTTTCATAAGCCCCGAAGTTGTACAATTTCCTCCAGCTTTAGTCGAGCTGCACATCTGAACTTACAACGGGTGAGTCACCAGAAAACACGAGAAGGGATTTTCATATGACAACAGTGAAATACTGACCGGCCTGTAGTGTGTGTGTGTGTGTGTGTGTGTGTGTGTGTGTGTGTGTGTGCGCGCCAGTTCCCACGCTGCAGGCACTTCCGTTTGCAGCACTCTGGTGAGACTGGCAACTGGACTGCAGCTGCCGTCTGTCTCATTCTGCCTGGTTGCAGCTGTGCGGCAGCTAAACCTGAAGCATCAGCAACCAACAAACAAGTGTCGTACACATGCTTCTCCTCAGGATGTTCCCGGCTAAGCGGCGAGGGCTCCGGCTCTGGATAGCTGCAGCATGATTCAGACCAGCAGTTACAGTGTGTGGAGTCATTTATTCAAACCCCAGATGAGGTGGAGAGTCAGCTAAAGTACCTTCAGCTCCACGTGAGGCAGAGTAGACTAAACTTAGTCAAGAGAGTCAACCAGACTGCTAATAAATAAACAGACGTAAACCTGTATCAAACTAACATGAGTTCTGATGAGACTAAACTGAATGAGACAGAAAATGTATTCCAGAGAGAAGCCTGATTGATGTGTGCAGCTGCTGGAGGCTGAGCAAAGGTGTCATGAAGCCAAGTCCTGTCTCCCTGCCTCACAGAGACCCGCTGGAAGACTTGCAGAAATTAATTGTTGGGGATAAGCCTTTGGAGCTGGACTGTCAGCATTAAAGGAACAGTGTGAGATTTGGAGGAGTTCCACATGTATCCCATGTTGACAAGGAGAGGTTTCAGTTGATCCTCTGTTATCTAAGTACATTTTCTAATCTTTCCTGTTAAGCTGTTTGGTATTTCCAGACCCGAACCCCTCGCTGTGCAGCAGACAGAGCCATCAGACGGGTGATGTTACCACCCAAACCTTAGAACAGCCCGGATGACCCTGGACACAAACGTTTGTTGGTCCCAGAGCCGGTGAACATGTGTGCCCGTGTCTGGTCAGTGTGAGGAGTGTGAGGACACTCTCTTAAAAAGGTGTGACAGAGCGCCTGTAGGGAGGCCGGCTGGTGTGTGCCGGCTCTCCCTCACACACACACTGAGCTGAAAGGCTTTGATGTGTTGGCGGCAATTTGTTGTCTTCCAGCTGTGAGTGTGTAAAGAACACCAGGACTGCTTTGCACACAGCGAGGCAGACAAACACACACTGACCACACAGACGGAGGAGGGATGTGGAGGAGGCCCAGAACCTCACAGAACCACTTCAGCATTCGAGGAAATAAGTTTAAATGTGGTCAAGTTGAGTTGGAGAAGATGATTGATACCACGCTCATATCTGTGCGCTAAAGACGAAGCCGGAGCCAGGAGTGGATTAGCTTAGCTCGGGTTTAAGACTAGAAGCAGGGGGATTAAACTAGCCTGGCTTTGTCTGAATTAAAATCTGCCTCCCAGGGTCTCTGAAGATCCCTAATTAACACATTATGTCTTGTTTGTTTACTCAGCACAAAAACCTAAATGTAAAGCAGACAGTCTGTGGATTTATGGGGAGTTTCCTGCTGGAATGTTGTTGTATTTACAGTTGAGCGCTCAATCTCCTCATCTGACTCGCATCAAGAAAACAAATAAGCGTATTTCACAGAAAGTTCAGCTGTTCCTTTAATGTGCAAGAAGTGGAAGGCAGTGTTCAGTTTATTCTTCAGCGGTATGTCCAACGAAGCAAGGACGAAAATCAGCGAAAGGTTTACGTTTCTTCCATCTGCCCGTTTTGTTCATGAAAGCTAAATGTGGCGGCTCATTTCTTTGCAGGTTCAATGATGAAACAAAACACTTTTTCTGATTTTTTCATTTCTGGCGATTTAGAATCAGCTTTGTGTTGCTGCCGTCCGTCCCAAACACTTCACGTATTTAAACGAGGCTACAGCACATCGCGTCAGATCGTACTGTTAAAAGATATACAATGATATTAGTGTGATATTGATACCGCTAAAGAGCTTTTAAGTTCGAGCTTCACGGGCGATGGAAGCAACCTTTGTGAGCGTTTAACTCACATCACTAATCAGCCGTTTCTGTGATTCGTTGTCTTTGTCTCCAGACAGAATGAAACACGGCCGATAGCAGCTGGCATGAAAGCATCAAATTAAAACCGTTTCTGAAGACTTCTCTCTAATTTTCTCTCTTAGATGAACAAAGTTTAATTCGGTTCTTCTTCTTTGAGGTTTTCTTGGCAAACAAATGCTTTGCTTGCAGCCACGTGTAGCACAGCTCACACCGCCAACTTCTGATGACGCTCTTTGCTTCATTATGTAGAACCATGTCCACCTGATGGGTACATGCACTGTTTATGGTTTTATCATGTGTACTATTAACACGATATCAGTGTTCGTGGTTTAAATAGATTCGTTTTGCAGCCACGAATCATAAATAATTACACAAATACATCTGAACAGTTTATGAGACGTTCACCTCGAAACCAGAAATGTCAAATTCACGATAGTTTGTGTTCAGGTTCACCGGACTCCTACGATGTTTGTGGAGATGTTTCAGTCTAAGTCAGACCGACTGACCAACGCTGCGCTGCTACAACAAAGCGACTACATCTTATGAGTGGACAGATAAAGTCTGGTCCCCACAGCAGCTTCAATGCCCACATTTTATTTTGTTGACTCAACTTTTCTTAAGCGTCTGGACAGAAACAAGTCCTCCTCCTTTGTCCCCATACTCTAAACCAGACCTATGCCTTCCCCCCACGTCCTTTCATCTCTATCTCTCTATACCTCTCTCCCTCTATCTCCTCCTCCGTTTGGTTTCTTATCTTCTCTCTCTGTTCTCCTCTTCCTCCTCCCAGGGAATTAGGGGGAAAACACAGACATTTTTACAGGGGTATTAGGACAAAGAAAAAGCAGATCTCCTCTTGTAGCTCCATCTTCTTCTCCTTTCTTGCCTGAAGACAGGAAGAAAAGAAAAAAAAAAAAAAGAACCAAGGCCCTCTCCTCACTAATTACAAAGCGACTGGAGGCTACAAAGTCCTCCCCGCCCACAAACAACAAGATAGTTTAAAGATGTCGATGTAAACAATTAAGAGCACACACACATACGTTCAGAGGAGGCGAATATAGGCGGAGGGACATCTGTGTCGGTGTGCCAGCTTGTGTGTGCGCGCTCCCCGCGGCTCGCAGCGTAACGACGTCTGGTTTGCATGTTGTAACATCATCATGAAAGATGTTCAGACGCACAGGAAGACAGCTGTGGAGAGAGATGAACATCTGGGCTGGGGGCTGAGAGTACGAGGTGTGTGTATACGTCTTGGTTTCCTTGTGAGTGTGTGTGTGTGTGTGTGTGTGTGTGCAGATAATCGGATTGCGTCCCAAAGGAAAACAACATGGGATCCCTCACAGTCATTGCCTTCATTCAGTAAATCGGTGTTATTTCAACTGCGGTTTTGGGAGTCGGAGTGGGCCGGAGCGCCTCCACATACATGTAGGAGATAAGTCAGAGCGCTCTGTTTACAAAAGAAGTTTGGGCAGAAAAAGTCCCCTCATTCATCAGTCCATACGGAGCCACTTCATTCAATGGGGCCTAATTTGTGTAAGACAGATAGCTTGGAAATCAAGACATGGCGGTGGGGACCGCAGGAGCGGGGGTAGGAAGGGTGAGAAGTCTAAACATGAAACCCAGCAGAGCGGGAGATGAGAGAGGAAGAGGAGGAGACCCGGGGAGGAGGAGAGGAGAGGTGTGAAGTTTAAACATGAGGAGTGAGTGTTAGAATAATTTGAGGGTGGCTGATCTGTGCTGACTCTGTGCACACAGGAGGTGACCTCACCCCGCTGACACTGACGGAGCTGAAAATCAGACCAGACGCTGTCCTGACACCACTCGTTTTCCTGCCATCAGCAGCAAAAAATAGAAAAACAAATATGACGTTTTTATCTCAAATGATGGGAAATTTTCAGTGCAACTGTCTTCAAGTCATCAGCTTCCTTAAAAAAAAACATAGACGATAAATGAGTAAGATGAGCAAGAAACATCACATGACCTGCTGTTTGTTTCATTTTATTTACAGACACACTCCAATACAATCAAGCTTTGTACCGTGATAAAATGTCCATATGGTGGCTTTTAGATTGAACGTTTTATTAGTTTTTTACTGAACTGTGTTGATGACAGTCTCAAAAACATGCATTCAGACTTCTGGGGTTTCATATACAACAAATGTAAAGAACCAATCCTGTCAACGTTTCGTATTCTTCCTCCAACTGTTTAGCTGTAATTCAGACTGACGCTGTCCCTCTCATGTCTGTGCAGTTTAACACATTCCAGGCAGTCATCGGTTACGACGAGACCGACTCCTACGTTCTCTTCCTCTACCCTGAAGGAGGTCTGAACTTCTTCGGCACTCGGCCCAAGGTAAGCTTGGACTTTTTTTTTCAACTGCAGCAGTTGTAGATGCACACAAATTAAGATTACCAAAACTGGTGCAGCTCATCAGGTGGGTAAGATGGTTCATATTTTGTCCTGTTTTTTTCCAGGAGTCGTATAACGTTGAGATAGAACTTCCTGCTCGAGTTGGCTTCAGCAGAGGAGAAGTGACGTATTTGATCTTTTCCCGAACTGAGGGACCTTTTTACAGCGTGACCAGTGATGAACAGACTGTTAAAAACCTCTACCAGTAAGTACAAAAAACTATTTAAAACACAGGGTTCAGACATGTCCAACAATTAGCTATCAACATGGCCAGAAAAACTGTTGTTGCATCAGCAAGTTTGGTTTTGATAATGTAGGTTTCTTTCAAAATTAAGGTTGTGTATGTAATAAACAGATCTGATATGAGCTCTATGGACTTTAATGTAAAAACGTGATCTATTTAGCCGGCGAGTGAAGCTAACGTTATGCTGCACAAAGAAGAAAGCTACAGTTAGCCTGACTCGCTAACAAGTGGTATACCTGTAACTCTAACTATATACAGCACTTAGTAAAATAAAATAAATGTGAAAAAATTAGGATAAACTCGGTTAAGACGCTTCCCAGAGGTAAGAAGTCGGGGGTAAGGGGGCAATAGCTGACGATGTTTTGATGCTTGTTGTTCCATTTGCCACCTAGCTAGCTTTAGTCCTCGTTTGGCTCAGCAACTTTGGTGACATTATTTTTATTTCAGTAATTTAAATGTCAATGATAAGAAAGATATAATATCTCCAATTCTGGTTTGTCCTCGGCCCACCGATTCAGAATTAATGGGCCAGAATCAAATAGGTGTAGAAGTAGGTGCAACATCAACGTTTGAAAGTGAAGTTATCTTAGGTTCTGTAGCTCTAAATGATTTGAGCACAGGTGTAATTAATGACACTGATAACGACATAAAGTTGTGCACACATTTATTGCTTATTTCTGTGTGTATCTGACTGGCTCCTTCCTCTTTAGGGTTGGCAACACTGGAATTCCAGGCGTTTGGCTTTTCCACACTGGGAACCGCTACTCTTTTGACAACGTAGTTCCTGCATCGGTCGGTGGTCTCCTCGCTACTCCACCCGCCAGAGGACATGGCCTCTCCTTGGTAGTTTTGTTTTTAGTTTAATTTAACTTTTATTTGAAGATATCTTTGTGCAACAGCCTAGAAAACAAACGTCCTCTGACTCCTGTGTTTATGTTCCCAGGACACCACCACCCCTGAGTACGCAGAGTTTGAAGAATATCCAGACAATACCTTTGACCCCGACGACCAAGAGGAAGAAGACGATTACCCGCTGACCGGCGGAGACCCTGAATTCCAGCCAGCCCCTGCTGGTGGTGACCCCACAGATCCCCTTGAACCTGGAAGTCCTGACCCTCCCTCTTCTCCCTCAGAGGATCCGCGTGAAGACGTACCATTGACCTCTGAACCGAGGTATGGTTCAGAGCCAGCAGAGAGGCAGTACGCTCCACCTAACCCTCCACAGACAGACCCAGAAGGAGGCGCTCAGCCGCCACCGGAACCACAACCACAGGTAACGTCCACAGATTAGGCAAACGCACATTTGTAGAAAGAACTGGACTCTTCTTAGCTATTTAAAATTACTTGAGGTTTTTTCAGATTAACTGAGCTAGAAAACAACAGTGGTGTTTAAGGGTTCATGCGGCAGTGAACATCTGCTCTCTGTGGCAATATCCTCAAATTCTCTGAACCGTCACTTATGACTGTGGATTTGAAAAAACAGAGGAATTTAAACTGACACTGCTGTCAACACTGTCAGGGTTTTGAAATAATGATTTGAAATTGTAGTCACTTTTGTAAATTCTGTGGTTGTGAGGGAATGTTGTTTTGGAGTCCGTATGGTGGCGTCAACAACATGCTGCAGTCGTGATCCCCTACACACTGTATACACCATGTAAAGCATGAGCGGATCATAGATGTCTGGTTTATGGCATCTGGAGAGAGTTAAAACGTTCTGGCTTTGCTTTCAATGACAACAGGAAAACATACTTGAAATTGAGCGTTGCATATTTCCCTCGTATCTCCGTCTGCAGCTTCCTCTGGAGGTGGTGGATGTTTACCCCCCTCACAGAAACGAACCGCCTCTTTCCCCAGGAGGTCATGTGGTCAGCGTGGATGAAGATGATGTTGATTTTGACACAGGAGGTAAGAGACCAACAGTATGAGTGTGTTTTTATTTATTGGCTAAATAAAACGTTGTAATCAAAGCAGGATTTGCTGTGAGCAGACTTTGCCTTTAAAACAACTGCTGCTGTCCTCGAGCACACAGTGTTTCTCAGTACTTGGCAGTCAGGTTTTCCAAGCATCTTGGACAACTTGCCACAGCTCTTCTGTGGATTCCCGCTGTCCCAGGGTCCTCTGTGTCTCCATGTACTCCCAATCTGACTCATGATGTTGACATCAGGGTTCTGTGGAGTCACACCATCTGTTGCAGCACTTCCTGCTTTTCTTATGACTAAAGATAGTTCTGTATGATTCTGTTTGTGCTCAGTGTCAGGCTGCAGGATGGATTTGAACAGTCAGACGCCTTTATGATGGTGTTAAGTGATGGAAAAGAAGCTAAACATCTGAAGAGTCTAAAACTTTAGCACAACATAGACATATGTATATATATATGTATGAAAGGATGAAAGGGTGGTCACTGAAAATAGGAAGGTAACACTACCTCAGCCTCTGCGGCAGAGCTGCTCAGCAGCTGGCAGCACAATACTGCCGTTGTACTGTGGAGCTCCCAGGTGTGTGTGTGTGTGTGTGTGTGTGTGTGTGTGTGTTCAGCACTCCCTCCCCCTGCAACTACTCCCACAGGATTTTGCCGTAAATAAGAATGTGTTCTCAGTCGGTTTGCCTGGTTACATAAGGGTCAAGAAGTCTGGATGTGTAAAAAGTGTTTTTCTTATTAAGTCATTTAACTGAGTTTGGAGAAAGAAATACTTTTTTTTTTCAAGAAGACAGAGAGATCTGTCAACGAGTTGGTTTGTGTTCCATTAATCAATTTTCCTCTGTTGTTTTTAGAAAAACAAGAAGTTTTTGGCACACTGCCTTTTTAGTGGAGACACACAGAGAATGTGGGGAAAGAGAGCAGCAGAGTGACCTGCAGGGCGGCAGGCGAGCCGGCTTTATGGCTGCTGAGGCCGTTTTAGCCCATATGATACACACACAAGATTATTCAGACTTAATATGTGAAGCCAATGAATATCACTCATAATATCACTATTTATGCAATAATACACACATATGACTATACAGTGTGTATATACTGAAAAGGCTAAAATATCAAACACTGACAACAAGCATCATTTAAAACAACATTTCATGGGTTTAATACTCTAAACAGAAATACACAGTGATGTTTGTTTGCGGGTTTCCTCCACAGCACTTACAGCGATGTGTCTCCTGCGAAAATATCCCGACATCCTGTGTCCCTGTAGGATGAGAGAACGCTCGATTTTGTTCCCAAATCAGCCATTTGCAAACAGACAAATAGAGAGAGAGTGAGATATAAACAGAGAAAGCAGAGAGAGCGAAGCACTCGACAAGTCATGCGAGGTCCATGTGATGTTTTCAGTTAAGCAGAGTTACTAAAACATGAGAGGTTTTGGTTGAACTTGAGGCATCAATAAGCAGTTGGAGCACTCTTCTAGCTTTGCATTCACTGCATTCACAAACCGATTTCCGGGGGCTGAGAGATGTTACAAGACTCCATTTTTATGCTGACTGCACAGTTCTTATTCTGTTTATTCCAAATAAATTAGGACCAGAGAGCATCACTTCCTGTGTGTCAGAGGATTTTCAAGGAATAAGCAATCATCCCTCGCGGTTACGGCCAGTAGCGAGGACATTTCTGCTTTGTGAGGACACTTTGCCTGATCCTTACAACCTCAAAGTTAGGATTTGGTTTAGTTTAGCAATTTAGTTAAAAGACTGGAGTGAATAAGTGTCCTCACAAAGATGGAGAGATGTACATGTGTGTACGTGTGTGTGGGAGGCAGCAGCTGGTTTCTGTCCAACTAGTGCCTTGACGTGTGTGTTTCAGAGTGTGTATACGTCCTCCACGTATTTCTATTCATCCGTGTTTCTATGTGAACAGTGTTCAAGCAAATCTAACCAGAAAACTCTGCCAATCTAAATAAACCAAACTGTTAATTGAAGATCGTAAAGCTGTAAATATTATATACAGTAGAGGAGTAAAGCTGTGGTCCTTCTCTGTTTGGTCCTGTTGTCTTAGAGAAGAGACATCAGGATGTTAAATTATATTCATTCTAATGTGTTTATAATATGTAATAATTAAACGTCGTCTTGTTTTCTCTCCCTCTCAGTGATTCGGTATACGACAGAGAATACAGAGACATGTGCCAGGTATGTAAAGTCTATGCTTTCTTTTTGTTGTTGGGGTTGATTTCTTTGGTCACAAACGAAATAAAAATTATTTAATTGCAGAGAGTTTTTCCTTCAAAAACAAACAAAGCAAAGCCCTCTCCATTCCCACCATTACTGGTTTCTGTTAACTCCGTCCTCATGTGGTGCCAGTTGAGTCCGTTTCAATTGGATCTGAAGAATACAAGCTTAAAAATGCAAAAAAATAAATCAGGGAGTTGGACGAAGTGAGCCTCGCTTAGTCACCGTTAACAAAACAGCCACATCAGAACGGGAACAGTCGGGGACTTAGCTGCATTGTGGCTAATGTAGGCGCTCGTTAATGCATGGAGTAAACAAAACAGCTATACTTTTATACTGTGTGATATGCCAGATAAAGGTTTGGAGTGACCCAATACATGGTGGGTCATATAAGCAGGCTTTTCTGACCCAAATCCTCTGCATGGTGGAAGCTACTCGGCTCATTTTGTGCTCCAGACTGTGATAGATGCAGGAGGAGGACGGACAAAGCTTCAAGCCCTCGATTATGATGTGATAGCACGTCCCAGTTGTGTGATGTTGCACGCAGCAGCGCGTACGTGCAGCTGTTGTGTGTACTGACAGTAACAAGTATGTGATTTGGAGTGTAACCAGAATCTCTGGTTCAGCTGCATCGATTTCTGTTTTATCACCAAGACTCACAGCAATGATCTGCTGGCTTTATAGTTTCAGTCCTGATCTGCCAGCAGCAGCAGCAGCAGCAGCAGGAGTTAACAAAACAAAATCTCATAGTTTGTGAAAGTTGTCAAACATCGACCACATTTACATCTGCAGCAATAAACGTCTATTTTCTCTCTCTGTGTCTCTCCCTCTCTCCTCCTCTTCTAGATTCCAACAGCAGTGCTCCCAGAATGCATTTTGCTCCGACTACGCCACCGGCTTCTGCTGTCACTGCCGTCCTGGCTTCTATGGAAACGGACGCCACTGTTTACCTGAAGGTTGCAGCTCAACTGTTAATTTACCATTTCACAGTTTTTAAACTTACTGAACAGTAAAATGTTTTCCTTTAAACGTTAACGTTGCTGTGTCGTGTGCTGCTCCTCCAGGCGCTCCCCAGCGTGTTAGCGGGAAGGTGAGCGGTACTGTGACCGTGGGATCGACTCCAGTGCAGCTGAACAACATTGATCTTCACGCCTACATCGTGGTGGGAGATGGGAGAGCGTACACGGCCATCAGCGAGGTACAAGCCTCAAAATACACACGTTAACGCAGCCTGTGGTGTCAAATGATTTGTGAAAAGATTCAATTCTCCTCTGGTGTCTTTTACCGAATCTGTCTGTTGGTCAGGTACCAGAACCAGTGGGCTGGGCTCTGATGCCGTTGGCACCAATAGGAGAGCTGTTTGGATGGCTGTTTGCTCTGGAGCTGCCCAATAGCCAAGCAGGATTCAAAATCACAGGTAGACTGTGTCTTTCTCTGTTCGCTGTGTTGTCTTGTACATCTTGACTCTTGAGCACGTCTCTGGAGAGAAGAGGGAACTCCTT